GGGTTTAGATGTGCAATGTGCTTCTATGTAGTATAATAAGCTAACCAGTAACAGAGTAGTTCCTGGTGCAATAAAATGGTAATGTCATCATAAGTTTTTTTTGTTTGTGAAGTGTTAGAGGAGTTTTTAATGTTATCTAACCCTCACCCATTCTGCTAAAATATTTTTTTTTTATTGACAACTGATACTCCATAAGATAGACTACCAATCCTGGGACAAGAAAAGAAGGGACAGAGATGGCAGTAAAACCTGAATGTGGTTCTAAATCTGGACATACACCTATAGATTATCTGCAGATTTTCTATGGTCAGATGGAAAAAGTGCAACAGATTCCTCCAGCTACGCTAAACTGTGTGGATGGAGCAATCTCCCACTGGGCCAAGCTTCAGCATCTTGCTAGTCGGCCCCGCTGGCTCTCAAAACACCTGAACAATGCCTGCATCCAATCAGATTGTTCAGGTATTGTGAGAGCCAAAGCTCCGACCAGCAAGATACTGAAGCTTGGCCCAGTGGGAGATTCCTCCATCAACACAGTTTAGCGTAGACAGATGAATCTGTTGCACTAATTCCATTGGACCAGAGAAAGTCTGCAGATAATCTATAGGTGTATGGCCAGCATAAGACTTCCTTACTCTATTCAAAACAAGTTTTGGCTGATGTTCCACTTTAAGATTTTCTCAGAACCAGATCTGCTATCAGTGATATCAGTGAACTATAATAGTGAAAGAGGCAATATTATTATTCAATGCATGGGAAAAAGTACATTAACGGTTTCCAGGTGTTTTTTTTTTAATAATAAAGGAAATGTTAAAGTGTAATTTCTTTTATTTCGCAATCTTGTGTTATCTTGTGAGTCTCGAGCATACATAAAGCTACATCCTAAATTTTCTTGATGTTGGCTTAAGTGATATCTATGCTGTCTTGTTTTGAAAAGTTGTCACCCTGAAGGTACTATAACAGCTGTGGATCTTCAAAACAAAGCAATGTATGCTTTACATACAAATCAGATCTTCAAAATGAGGACCCTAGAGTTGCAAGGCAGACATTCTAACCACTATGACACAGTGCTGACCAACTCCTATGTTATGACACCATACTCTGCTACTGTGACTAATACAGAAGTGTAAAAAATAATCAACATTTGAAAAACTATTTATTGTCCATTTTCTTCCCAGGTATGTTGAAATATACATTGTGCACAGTGAAAAATTATCAAATTCTACTGTTTTCCATGGAACTCTATAGGCCCATGGAGTGCAGCATGTAGGAGAGCATTCCATAGAACCAGATGTGTCTACTCTTTGCAACAGCAACCACTTCTACCTAACAGCAGTGAAACCTTTAGTTTCCATTCTAATACTTCTGCTATGTAGCCTCATGGCAGTTTTCTCTCTCATTTTTTCTGCATTGAATATGTCTTATTTTGCATCTATGACCTTTCCAACTTTCTGTATCCTCAGAACCTACATTCGGCTTCTCACGGTCAAAACAATAACTCCTGCCTCTTCTCTAAATGGCCCTGCATACAGAGCTCCTACTTCCTTTATCCAGCAATCCAATTAGTAAAACTTTTGGTTGCTTTGAAAATTAAACAGAATCAATTGCCATTACGATTTGGAGCATATACTGAGTAACACACTGCCCCTGGCTCCTAAAGACTGGCATGGATGGATGGGATGCAGGGACTGTATACAGACAGCTAAGTACAGTTTGTATGAAAGTGTAACCCACAGACAATTTGTTTTCTTAGGGATTACATTAGAAAGCAAAATCAAAATCAAATAAGAAGCAGACTACAACCCCTAGATATTCTGTCTCCTTAGGCTTTATGCACACGGGCGTCAGGGGATTCCTGCAGCAAGAACCTGTGGATTATTGTGGCAGGAACTCCAGCTGTGTATGTACAGATGCAGCCATTCCAGTTAATGACAGAGTGACAGCAGTCGCATCTGTTCATGGCTATCCGTATGTTAACGTACATTGTACATGGTGTAGAGTTCCGTGAAGTATCACAAGCTGTAATGATAAGGTGGTTTATTTGTACTATACTGGGAGTGCTGCTACTGTCTGTTATTGAAAAGCAAACCTGAACTAATGAACGTGTGTTAGTTGCAACACCCACATCAGTAGGGCCATTTGCTATGTATTCTGAATATCTCCAATGGTGTTCACCCAGGTGCCAACGTGGGTCTGTGCACAACCCTTTTGTCTTTCTCCAGGATGCTGGGTGGAACATTCAGATAATTTACAGTCCTCTACTAGAGATTTTGCACATGCTCAATAAAGTTTTGTCAAACCTGATTACCAGGATGGGAACTTTGCACTTCATGGTGTCAGGAGAAGATGTAAAACTTAAAGGAGAATTATGAGGTGAGTGATTTCCACTCATCCTTATAGTTAGAGCCGACCTGTGACAAAGAAACTGTCAGAGGTCGGCTCTATTGATCAGGAAGTGAGCGAACACATACCGTTGCTTGCTCACTTTACGTTCATCTCCCTGCAGAGAGCTGTGACTGTCAGTCACCGCTCCCCGCAGGGATTCCACCCCTCCACTCTACGATCCTCCAGCACTGAGTGGAGGAACGGACAGGGGAGGGGGAGACACAGCTGGCTCGGCCTCTAGAAAGGCAGAGCCAGCTGTCACTCACGCAGCTGGGTGGATCTCGACAGTATTGTCAGGATCCGTCCCTGCTGTGGCGCTCTCAGTGGCCCGCGATATACTGAGCTTTGGGTCACGGGAGGAGGTTAGTATAAGTCCTCCAGTGACCCTAAAGAGAACTATGGTTAAAAACACTTAGGGTTCTATTCACTAAGCTGCCGTAGGGCAGGTGCAATAGCTAGTTTGCTATTGGCTATTGCAAATTGAACTAGCCAATAGAAATCTAGCTATGCATTCCTATGGTGATTTTTTTTTATTCTGATGGCGCAAATGGCTCCGATGTCAAAAGAAAAAAAAACAGAGCAGGGAAAGGTTTACCCTGCTCGATCGAGCAGAGTAAACCTTTCTGGGAGAAAGTGTTTCTCTCCTGGGTGGCCGGGAGCCGCTATCTAATAGCAAGAGACTCCCGGAGCGTCCGGGGGAGTTGGGCTGTCAGGAGATCAGTGTCCCTGGTTAACTGGTAAACAGGGGACGCTGATCTGTCTGTGCAAGTGGTAAGTGGCGGCCAGCAGTAAGTGGCCGGCAGTCAGTAGCAGGCTGTCGGCCGGCCAATGGCCGGCCGTTCAGCCAGCTTTGGCTTTCACCTCGGCTCAGTCGAGCCGAAGCATATGCCGACTTCGGTAGCTGTACGGGCTATAGTGAATAGGGGTCCTGGGGCCTAAGCTAGCCGAAGGATCAGCGGAAGCTAAGGCTAGATCCTTCGGCAGCTTAGTGAATAGACCCCTTAGTTATTCAAAGTGGTGCATCTCTGACATAAAAGAATGAACCATTGTCTCAACCTAGTTATGGGTAGAGACTTAAATGGGACTGATCTGTGGTTTTTTTTTACAAACATGACCACACAAATGTTAAAACTTTCCATTTTCCAGTAATCATTTCAAGTTTTCTTTAATTAATTTAATTTGTATAGCTCTACATTGCAATGCTATCAATGTAAGTTTAAGGTACACTCAAAACTACAGAGCTGATATCGTGTTTAAAGAAAAACCATGATTTACGCAGTAATTCTGACTATAGACACTGGGGTTGATTTACTAAAGGCAAAAAGGCTGTTCACTTTGCAAGGGAATTTGCACTTTGCAAGGAAAGTTTACCCTTAGCTTAGTAAATGTGGTGAAACTCCACTCCAAGAATGCTCAATCATGTGCTAGGAAACAAAAAAAAATGTATTTTTTCTTGCACATGATTAGCTGATGGAAGTCAGCAGAGCTTTACCTCATTCACAAATCTAAGGGCGAACTTCCCCTGCAAAGTACAAATTCCCTTGCAAAGTGAACAGCATACTTTCCTTTAGAAAATCTACCCCATTATATCACCTGTTAATTGTTGGTTATGAGTCCTCTAAACAGAGAGCCCAATAGTAGCTTTTTCCTTTCACACTGCCTTTGTCTGATTGGAAATATGTACTAACTTGTAGAAAGCTGAAAGAGAAGTGGAGCGAGTGGTAAATTGTGTACTCTGATTTATGCAGTTGTGTGTGTAATCTGAGCTTCAGGTATTGAGCTCTTTAAACAATAAGCTTTTGGAAGAAAAGTTACAATTAGCGCAATAAACATACAGCCCAGAGATTCTCCTGCAGGCTGGAAATATGACACATTTATATGCAATATTTCATACTTAGGTAATACAACGGAAACAAACATTTTTAAAAATTGTATTTTTCAGTCCTAAACATGGAAATACATACAAAACACTAAATGCTCCCTGAAAATATGCTGAAAACATTCTCTCCAGTAATGGCTACAGAAATATTAAACCCTAAATTCCAAGTTCCAATATGTTAGAAAGCCGGATTTAACATTATAATTGACCTTTTATAATAGAAAGAAATCACATCTTTAAGGCTCATTCACACTTTTGCGCTGAGGCATGTTGTCAATGGTACAGTTCTAGTTCTTGACAATGCATTTTACTGTGGTGCTTTTGTAAAAGAATATAATTCTGCTTACTGCATATTTGGTGTGGCCTTCCAGCACGTTCATCTTCTACAGAGATGAACAGTACTGCATTTTAGGGTAAAATAAATACATGAACAACCACCAAAAACGCATGCAAAATTCATCATAAATGCACTGCAACCAATGCCAAAAGCACACATTTAAAAGCTATATGTTTTTAAGCACAGAGCTACGAATGAGTCTTAACTGAAAAATCTGCATTTACATTTCTTAAATCAATATTATCCACTTTTAGGTCATATGGCAGTTTATTACTATCTATATTAGTATATTTGTTTTTAGGAAACAAATTATAGTGCTGTATTTTATGATTATATCATTAAGTTATCCTAAGTAAATAAATATATAATCCTAGTAATAATAACAGTATTGTTAAGGCATACCTCTTTACTTTCTTCCAGGTCAGATTCACTGCTGAAGTCTTCTGTATTGAGATTTTCAAAATCAGATTCCCCAACAGCGATGGGAACAGTCACGGTGAGGCTTGGATTATGTATAAAGGACATGTAATCACTCTCATCAATAATATACTTTTCCACACTGCTGCCTACTCCGCTTGTAGTTCCATTTCCACCTTTGTGATAATCTAAGTCTTTATTAATATCAACGGCATTATGGTTATAAAGACAGCTCTCTTTCCGGTTGTGCAGATCCTCGAGAGGTTTGATTTCATCTAGAGCTTTTTGTTTCTTCACAAAGGCTTTCTGGATGCATTCTCGCATTGTTTTCTTTACAAAATCTATTCCCCTCTGTATTCTTCCCACAGCAATCTGAAGGTTGTTCATCTCATTGTCATCGTCTGTTGCGGTGAGGTTGTCGGAACTAAATGAACTCAGTAACAAGGCCAGGAACAAATTCAAAACCTATGCAGTACATACAAAGATGCGTTAACATTTTATGGTAAGGCTTTACCAGACCCAGTACAGTGCATATAGCTGGCAGTTTTCTGATGCTCTAAAAATGCACATGTAAGAATGTTTCCAAAATTGCAAGCAAATTACATATGTACTTTTTAAAAACTTGAAAAATGATTTAGTAATACAACCTACAGTATAATAAAACCAGCAACGTAGCAAGAGATTTGTTGAGATTAAACATAGGGCACCATAAGACCACCGGGTTATTAGGCCATTAGCTTCTGCTGGGGCTTTTTATCCAGCTTTCTGTCACTTACCTGGATCCTGCCACCATTAGGCTTCTTATTCTGCACTTAGTTCAAAACACTATTAGAGTATCTAGCTAGTGTTATGAGAGCCTATGTGATGACTATACCAAGAGGGAGATGTCCAAAGTCCATCCATTTAAGTGCTTAAACTGAAGAGGTAAGGAAAAAAGTAGGGTTGAAGGTGGTATTCTGGACTCGGGGAGAGACCCAATTGTAGCCCTATGCCATGTCACTGGTTTCACTTCCAATATTAGTCACTGTCCATCATTTTAGTAGTATACAATTTAATGTCCAAGCACATTACCAGCACACTTCCTGTCATTCTGATGATATCAGATGTGGGCTGTAAGTGGGGCAGTGCCTTATAAGATGATATACCATTGTAAAGGTATTATTATAAATGACCCCTGGCCCTGAAACTGTTTGGAAGTGTTGGAGAATTGGTTTGATTTAGTAAAATCAAATAGGCTGTTTGTTTTGCAAGGGCATTTTGCCTTTAGCTTAGTGAACGCAGTGAAGTTAATTATGCAAATATGTATTAAGGACAAAATGCACATCTACCATGAGACATTTAACTTTTTCACTGTGGACAGGAAAAAATTATTTGTAATTGAGGTATGCTAGATTGTAAGAATCATGTTGAGTTAATTTCCACTATAAATTTAGATGAAAGCAAAGGGAAATTTCATATAAAAAAAGAGATTTTCCCTCATTTTCTGTTGCATTTCCAGGTGAAGGAAGGTTTGGCAAATAACTTGATATTTTAAGCCTACCCAAATTCATCTAACACTAAATAAAAATGTTGTTTCGCTTTCATAAACTTTAATATTCAAATCCTTGAATGGGCCCAACTGTGCTATATTTGGTACAAGTGAACTAAAGGATCTTGCTTAACCTCCCTGGCAATGTACTCACCACAAGATTGCCAATGACCATCACTAACATGAAGACCAAAAGGCACATAGATTGTCCGGCCACCTCCATACAGTCCCACATAGTCTCGATCCACTCTCCACAGAGTACTCGGAACACAATCAGGAAGGAATGGAAGAAGTCGTTCATGTGCCAGCGTGGAAGCTCGCAGTCATCTGAGATCTTACAGACACATTCCTTGTAGCTCTTACCAAACAGCTGCATGCCGACCACAGCAAAAATAAACACAATGATAGCCAACACCAAGGTCAGGTTTCCCAGAGCTCCCACAGAGTTACCGATGATCTTGATCAGCATGTTGAGAGTAGGCCATGATTTTGCCAACTTGAAGACTCGGAGCTAAAAGAAAACAAACATGCTCAATTGTTTATCAGTTTCAGCAGCGCTTTACAAAATAAATGATCTTTTAAGAATTGTTAGGTAAAGTAGATGTGAACTTTACTATGGATTTCTCACAGGTCTATGTTTTTTTTAGAGGGGGAACACCCAATGGATGATTATAATGGTTGACTGCAGGATCAGTCAGACCTAGTTTATTTTGCTAGTAAAGGACAGTTCTACAGCAGGATTACCTTGAAGATTTTTATTATCAGTAAAAAAAACTGAAAGTTGTTGTTACGGTACAACCTATAGTTTTTATAAATGAGCTAGTATCCTTTTAACAGAATGCTGGTCTTACAAGGCTATTTATAAAACACTGTTCTTACCAATCTGAATGATCTAAGCACAGATAATCCTTCCACATTAGCCAGACCCAGCTCCATCAAACTGAGGCTCACGATGATTCCATCAAAAATGTTCCAGCCTTCTTGGAAATAATAGTATGGATCTAAGGCAATCAGCTTAAATATCATTTCTGCTGTAAAGATTCCAGTGAAAACCTACAATAGAGGAAAATAGGTCCCATTAGTCGAATGTTCTTCAGACTGAATCAAATTACATGTGATAATACAAGGCATTCGTCAAAATATGAAAAAAATTGAGTATGTAAAAGTATAAACTTATATAAAAGTATAAAACATGTGTACACTTTACCCTGGACTATATATCACCAGTAATATGGAGGTTACAAAAAAAGGTTACAAATAAGTGTCAGAACACATATTTTAAATGTTCACCATGCAATATGAAATTAATAGGAAAAAGGATTGTTCTTACTTAACAAAACTTTCAATATCCACTGGGATATGAAATGTCAGAGTTATTTATTAACGGTAAATAGGCTGTTCACTTTGCAAGGGAATTTTTACTTTGCAAGATTAGTGATTATGGTGAAAATCCACTTTACAAAGAATACCAAATCACGTGTAAGAAAAACAAATACAGCAATTTTGCTTGCACATGATTGGTTGATGAAAGTCAGAATGCTGCTATTTTTCTGCTAGTTTAAATAATCAAAATTACTATTCCTTATCTAGCTGATCAATTAATAAGACAGTCCCATGATCCAGTCACTAAAGCCATTTATATTGCATCAATAAACCGAAGATCCTCATTAGCTATAGTTAGTGAGCAAATTACTTGAAGAACAAAATCATGGAGACAAACAGCACACATCAAGTTTCTCCTAAGAGTACTTGAATTTATGCTCTGTGATAAGACAAGCGTACAGCCACTGCACAAGATGAAAAGGATGCAGCTGAATTGGTTTGGTCATTTTACACAGCTGCCCTTTTCTTCAAGATGCTGCCACTGGAGATTACCAGATATGCAACCTGTAGGAGTAGGCCCAGAAGCTGATTAGGATGGGATTCCAAATTCCAGTTATAATTGAGATCACCTACAGTGCTGGCTCTGTTGTTAAAGCACAACCTAATGACACCTAAAATCCTTACTAGTTCACAAAAAACATACTGAAAAAAGACACATAAAAAAACTTTATGTAACCTCTTAATTTTTAACTTGAGAAATAAGTATATATATATATACACATACACACACATCAAAGTATAGAATAGTGTGATTCCACAAAAATAAATAACACTAACTGGGTAATTCATTCATTCTTGAGAACCAATGTAACCAGGGAATGCATTGGTAGCACTGAAGCTGGGAAGACAATGCCATGGTTTCTAGAAAATCCTTAACCTTTAATCCCAGTAAGATTAAAGCTCATAATGTGGCCTACTCCACTGTGTGACTGGTACACTTACATAGTTAGAATGAAAAGAGACATACTTCTATCAAGTTTAAGATCAGAAGGAAAAGTTAAACTTTTTCCAGAGATCCATGTAACTTTTAGAACATTCATTGTTTCTGCTTAGATTTGTCTTAGTTCCCATAATCTTTTATCATCCGCACAATTTGCACATAGTGTTCCACCATTCAAGATTCCCATGGTTCCTCTTTAACTCTGCTTATTGCATTTGTCACCCAAATACCTTTCCTTCTGTTGACTTTCAATATATCAGCATGATGGCAGACTAAGACATAAAGACTCATACAATGAGTCTCATTATGTATCTTCACTAAGAACGCTCACAATTGAAATGTTCCTCTTGTTGGGGGAGTTGGACTTAAATGACTCCTCAAATTATCATTCTTTGTCCAAGCTGATTTATTTCTTCTTCTGTTAAAGACAAACTTTAAAACTGAAACAACAGTTTTCTTCATAAAAGGACAAATTGCAGGGCCATGTTGAATTATATTAGTCTGGGTTATTCTGATAAATATTAGGGTTATCTTTGCTGCTTGAACTCATAATACTGCCAATGAGAAGTTCTCTACCTTAAACATGTCAACAAAAATTATCGTCATTATTGTCCTGTAGTGGTTTCAAAGGAAGGAGAGTAAGCAAGCCATCCCAGACTTTCCTTTGCCTGGCCAAAGTCTTGAGCTCTTTCTAAACAATTTCAAGGCCTAGATATATCCTAGCCAATGTTTTCTTGGTTTGTTCCAGGGCCTTCTAACAAAGCCATGCCTGGTGCAACTCCTGGAAACATGAACTCCTGAAACTACATAACAGCCAAGTAACATTCCATGTTCTAATGGAGACTGACCTAGTTTATCTATAGCGATTCCACCCATGTTCACTTTCCAATGGTTATAGCACACAAACCCAAAATTCACTAAGCAGGCTCAGCAGTTGGCTTCACATTTACTAAAGGAGCAGAGGCTGTTCACTTATCAAAGTGAATGTTCACTTTGCAAAATGCATGTTAACTTTTCAAAGTGTGTTCACTTTCAGGGGTGAATTTTAGTAAATAAGTTGTTTCACTTCGAATACCCAATCACAAGCTAGAAAAAAATCTAATTTCCCCCACACATTATTATAACCTCACCTTATTCACTATGGGCATGGTAGTTTTAGTAAAATTCAAACACAATGTCATATACGTATGCAGTGTTAGATTCTAAAAGTTCTAAAATGCCATGTAAAGATTCTGGCTTAGAAGTGAAGACTCCCAACTGCCCCGATTAGGTGACAAAGTCCCAATTCTAGGACAGCCCTTTATTTTAAAAATATTATATGCGGACATTAACATGGATGTGTGGAAGAAGACCTGATGTGTGAAAGACAAGAAGATACTGTAGAGGTATAGGAGAATCATCTGAAAAATGGGGGGTCACATTGTTCCACTAAATCATTCTCTGCTAAGGCATTAATAAAGATTTCATAGAGTTCAATGAATCTGTATTATTTGTAATTATTTACACTTTGATATTGAAAGCTATGAAGTAACAAACAGCTGTTTTATATTCTACCAAACATATATGCTTAGGCTGCTCTGAACTAAACATGTGTTCTCTCTATATCTAGCCAATTATTTTAAAGTAAGAAAGAAAAAGTGCATAAAACACAGATACTGTAAACAACGACTGATATCAAGTTCATCAATATAGTGGCACTAATATGTAGTATATTTTCCCCACTCTAGAGGTCATGCAGCCAACAGTCATTATTTAGCAGGAATATTAAAAAGATTTGTTATAACACTGCTGCATCTAATCCTTCTTTCTCATTAGTAGCGAACAAGTTCTCAAGAAGTAATATGCACTAAGAACTTAATCTCATTTGCCTTTCACCACTGGCCCTTTGTATGTCTGTAACTCTGCTGGCTCATCAAGGAACATGGAAGTGTTATCATTTAGAAATGCAGGATTAAGGTATTTTTGAAGTTAAAAATTGATATAGTGGGGAATCTAGAACCCCCAGTGTACAGAAAAATTGTATTTTACAGAGCAGTATTTACTGTTGGCATTGTGGAACAGGGCTTGGGACAGCTGAGTAAGAAATATAGCACCAAGATGTACAATTTTGCAAAGTATGTTTGTTTTTCCTTTAATGTGTGCTTTCTCTGACCACTTCTAGAGGCTCTGTGGCCTTTTTTTCCCCCTGGGAATCAGCAAGCTAGATTTCTGTTATCCTATCTGATCGGTCTTGTCCCCAATTGAACCCAGTAGACTCAAAGTCACCCCTAGTAAGCCTGGAGGTTGAAAGAACTGTTATGGGATCTCATCTGGAGCCCTGACCAACAACTATCTACAGACCTTGTCAGGGCAACGAATGAGAGGAGGAAGGAGAGAAACCACAATACATTTTAATTTAACATGTAACTGCCCCTTCTTTATTTGCTATAGCAACTGGGAAAGGAAAAGGTGGTTATTTGAATCCTACTGTAATGAAATATACAGAACAAACTGCGTCATTGGGTGTTTGACTGAAACAACAATTTTATGACATTTAAGGTGACACTAAACTCAGGAGTTAAATCTTACAAATGTATTCAAATACCTTCTCTATTAACAATACTGTATCTTATTTGTGTATCACTCAGCGGAAGATCCTAAAATCATCTCTGAATTGGTGCTGACACTGTCGAACTACCCCCGCACTGCAAGGGTTAACTGGTTGTTTGTGTCTAAGTAAAAAAAAAACAACCTTATTCTTAGACCGGTCCCTGGAATGTCTCTCCCCCTCCTCTACAGTGGTCTAAGGCCCAGTAAATCAGAGATAGATGTGAGGACACTGAAACTAGCGTAGGGAACAGTTAGGACCACTGTCAGGTTTTTTTCCTTCTGGTCTGTTGGTAAGATTTCCTTTTACTTTGTTTCCCAGAACAAAGCAGGTAGTAAGAGGAGACCTCTGCAAAAGGAAGGGATATTCACTGTTAGACAGCTGTCACCAGAACAGGTTTTCCCATTGGAAGATTTAATTTCCCAATCTCATGTTCCTGTGACAACTCAAACATTTAACATTTTCCTTCACTTTCTGTACTAGACACAATGGTGACCAGGACAAGAGGAGCTGGAACACACAAAGGTGTGCAAGAGCACACAAAACTTCCAGCTGGACAGCAAAAGAGTCAGGAATTATGGAAGGGGGATCTTGATGTTGTAGAATTCAAGACAAATAAGAATCCTCCTCTAACTAAACAGGTGCACTGTGACACCATGTAAGGTGAATTCAAGTTCTATGTTAGTATATTTCAAGTTGGTATTTTGGCCCCACGTTCTTCAGTCTGCATGTATATGTATGATGTAACGTAATGCCTTAGGCAGAATGATACCATGTACAATTCTTGTTTATATTCTACACTTTAAATAAATCTAAAGACAACATTTTTTTCCATTGTTGATAGAGTATGGTGTTCTAAAACCCCTGACAGTTTTTTTTGCCATCTGTGACCTGTGCAAGAGATTCCCCTTCACTTCCTGTCCTGTAGACAAAACAGTAAGTGAGACCAAATATATCTCCAAAGTGAGGTAAATCTCCTCTTAGATAGTTGTCACCGAAAAAGTCCCTTTTGGAAGATCCCCAATCTATTCTTGTGGTGGTAGCAGTTCAAAATGTTAAATTTCCCTTAGTTGAAGACCACATTAATGATATGTTATAGAATTAGGTCATTTTACACTTACCAAGTTTCCAACACTAAGGACATAATTAAATTCGTCAGTCATGGGGTAATGCTCCATGGCCATGAATAATGTGTTTAAAACGATGCAAATTGTTATCGCCAGGTCCACAAAAGGATCCATTACAACCAGTTTGACAATATGCTTTATGCTCAGCCACCTATCAGTGCAGTCCCAGATTAAGAAGGTGTTTGCAAACTTGTACCAACATGGAGGACACTTCTGCCTGGATTCTTCAAGTTCTGATAAAGGAAGAAAACAAAAGTGTTGGTGTGTTTCGATTGGTATTTTAAATATAGGCAGGTGGTTAAAGTGCTTCTATTGTCTATTCATCTTAGTAGCCATTATTTTATCCAACCCAAAAAGGTTGGTTTTGATAATGGGCAACAGAAAGGGTCAAATCTCATGTCCATTAGCCCAATTTACATTTCCAGGGAAAGGTCAACTTCCCAGAGTTCACTGCAGTGGGAGAAAATGAGCGTGCCATCCCAACATCAATGATCCTTATGCCCCCATTTCATCGATCTCCTGTTAAAACGGCCTGTGCTACTATATTCTACAGGATGATTGTTATAAATTTCCTGTAGACTATTGTATTTCTTATACTTAGTCTGGTAGTCGATAAAATCCTCAAAGTATTAATCTAGTTTTCAGCAGCTAACATGCTTGCAATTACTGGTAATTAATGGAAAAGATAGCAAATTTTATTTTAAGCTAGTAAAATTTGCACACTGTTTGTGCCCCAAGTCTGCTCTGACTTTCTGCATATACTTTAGCTCACACCAAGGTTTGCTAATTCTTCATTTTGGAACTCAGCAATGGTTAGACAGGAAATTGCATATTATTACTGCAGTGTAAATTTCACACAATGGCACATTTCAGTGAAGAGAAAGTTAATTTTTATCGAGTCTCTCTTTTTTTAGTATGCAGAAGGAGCCACTGGATAAAAGAGTTAGAATTACTTGATGCGGGACATTACACAATTAGACAGAAAAATGTGGGGCAGGAAGGTAAGTAAGTATATCAATCCACATTCATTTTAACCTGCTACTTGAAACCCTGTTAGGATGCTAATTCACGTTTAACAAAGTTCAATATCTTACCTTCCATTGTGTTGGTCAATATACTAGCAACACTCAAGGCTCTCTGTCTCATGAATGTTGGATCTTCCAAAAGATCCATAGAAACCTGATAACAGCTTGGCTTGCGCTTCCTTATCTCAGTCTCTGTGGTGGTTCCCTGAAAAAAAGGGACAGTTGATCATCCATTGCCAACAATGTTCAGTAATCTTTCGCTCCAGTTAATGTCAGTTGTCAGTCACAAAGTCTAAAGTGAGTTGCATTTGGAGAAACCGCTCTCCACATAGTTTATAAAAAATATGTTATCTGTAGCAACCGTTCAAAGCCACATTAGGAAGATTGCAAAATGCTGACTGGCTGCTATGGCACACCACCTCCTCAACAAAGTTTGAAAATTTTTGTCTGTTTTTATATAAACTCTGCATATAATACAGAACAGTTTATGTTGCATGTTAGATTAGGTACACAGTGACATGAATGCAGCTTGAAATGAGTATGGAAAAAGTAGAAACACATACACACATAAAGGGATTTTTTAAAATCAGATTAATGGAGTACTTTATTTTATACAATAAGTGGTCTTCTGAGCTCTAAATTGAGTTATTGAGCTCAGTCCCACACTGGGTTATATTTACTACAGGACACTCATGGACAGGTGCCCTGGGAAGAGGATTAATGGGGGGTAGCTGCAAAGCATAGTATTTATAATCTGTGGATATTTTCTTTTATTATGCTTTGTCTTTAAATTCTGGCCACTTGCATGTAATCCCAGCAGCAAAACTAACATAGCAAGTGAACAAGGGACACTAAGGGGAGTCACTAGACAGGAAGCGTTTCATGTCTAATCCATTGACGTTGTATTTTAGTCTCCATTTGTTCTGAGCATTTTAAGGAAGAATTCACTTTTATTTTTTAATCAGAGGCATGTTCCCCATTTTTAGACCATGTGACAGCTCATACAAGGTGTGTCCTATACCTTGTCTTTCTTCACCTTCCAACTGCTGCAAAATGAAAGTTAGAAAGAGGAATTTCCACACTATATTTTTATCCCAATAGGGCATGTTGATTCTAGTTTTCTTTTTCATCTCTGCATGCTAGATTTTCTATAGCTGTTCATGTTTCATTTTCAATGTTTTTCCATTGTGCTAAAATGAACTGATTGCAACTACTCTAGCTTGGGCTGTGGCAGCTGCTTAGCAACACTGAAGCTCTGCAGAAATGAGCAATTAATCACTTCCATAGAAAATAATTATTTGCTTCACTTTCCCTTGAGGCAGATATTTCTGAACAGATATAGGCAAGTGTTAATAAAAGTCATCTTTCCGCAATAGTTGTAATATATTTATAAAATAATATTTTAATACTGGGATCTTTGGTTAAATGTGCAGCACTTATAAAATGAAATAAAATCAAGTTGTTGCTATTGTGATTAAATTCTCAGGGGTCACATTTCCAGAACTCATTATTCCCATGTAATGAACAGCAGCTGTGCAGTATTGTGCAGGGCAAAATCTCCCTTAGGGTATGTAAGCACTGGCTCTCCCTACTCCAGTGGTGCTTCTGGTTTGCGCTTATTTCAGTATCCAGTGAACAAAGCACAAGCAGCAAGCTTGTGAGTTATCAACAGTGCTGGAAGACTATTAATGCTCGCACATATGAGTACTTTTGTGCCATATTCAGAAACAACTAAGTATCCAAATGATTGGACTGTACTGAACCCTGTCAGCATCAAGGTGATAGGACTGTAGTGAATTCTGTCAGCATCAAGGGGATGGAACTGCATTGAATGCTAATACACAGTAATGAAGCATGTAAAGTCTCCCAAGTGCCCATAGAATTAGGGTTTGAAAACACAGACCCTTCCTTGTTCAGTGGAACTTCTGCTCTTAGTTATGTTCAACATTCAGTGAGCAGATCATTTGTTAAATGTAAGACAATAATGCCCAAATTTATGAGAAACCTACAGAGACAAGGAGTAAGGTGGCAGGACTGCTAGGAGCAGTACTTTGAGGTACCCGTCCTCCATTAGCTATTAGCAATTTTAGCAGATTTTGGGTCCTGAATGGGACAACATGTATCTGGGGGTGGTCATAATCTGTTCAAACAGTTTAAAGTAAAGCTGTCACACAACTGGGCAAATCATACTGAGTGTAAGATAAAAAAAAGTACAAGCTGATGTTAGCTTCAGTGGAATAATAGTGCCAAAATGATTAGTAGCTCCACAGATATAGACAACTGACGTTGTATGCAAATCTGGACTTTCCCTTCCATAAACGTTGAGCCTGGCCATAGCCCCTATACATCAATGAGGCCTAAAAGCACATTACAGAACTACAGAGGGGTTGAGGACAGAAGGGGTGGGGCCATGCTTGGCCTTTGCAGGACAAGTCAGGAGTTGCATATGATTTTAGCTTTCTGTATCTTGGAATCTACTGACTATTCTGACATGAGGTTTTGTTTACTAAAGGTTTTTAACTTTTTTAACTTTTTGCCCAGTAAAAATTGCCCGGGCTTGTGATAAGTTTTCTTTGAATCTGGATCAAGCTTTAATATGTTGAGAATTTAATTGTGTTTGGGAAACTACGGAATAGCCTAAGAACTGACTCCTTAGCACCGACACCTTTCAAAGGTAAAGTATTTATTAAAACTGGAGCAGACAAAATCTGGAGCAGCTGTGCATGGCAACCAATCAGTTTCTCTGCAGTTTGTTCAGTTAAAATCTGAAAATGAAAGGTGCATGCTGATAGGTTGCCATGTACAGCTGCTCCAGATTTTGTCTGCTCCAGCTTTGATCAATTCCCCTGACTTCTTTTAGTTATTTTGTTAAATAAGGTGAGATCTCATAACTATAAATGTGAACTGAAGACAGGTTTCCAATGAATACATAAGTAGTTTCATGCTCTGTGTCTGTATGGATAAAAAGCATGATTCAAACATTATATATTCAACATGCAGTGAGGGACAACAACTGTGACTTTTGTGATATTGAGAATGGTTTTAAAGTGGAACTTAGCCAACTCATTTTTGTTTTCTTACGGATAGAGTAGGGTATAGCTAGAAACTCTGTCAGATGTTTTTTCCTGTCTGTTGTCCCACCATGATGATCTTCCCTCAATTTTTTCCAATAAAAATAGGACAGGAAGTGTGGGAATATCTCATCAAGCTTAGAACACAGGCAGCATTCAAAGACCCTACAGAGGTATCCGTTTTCCCCCTCACTATCCAACACTAACCATCTTATTCACAAAGGGTTGAAGAGATTGGAGAAGGCAGGAGAAGTGAACAATCTAGGACAACATAGCTGAACTGGAAAGTGAGCTGAACTGGAGAATGTTTCCAAATCAGCTATTTCATCCTAGATTGTTCACTTCTCCTGTCTTCTCCAAACTCTTCACCCCTTTAGTGATTAACCCTGTAAGTAAAAAAAAAAAAAACATTGGGTGCTGTTCCACTTTAATGTATTTCACAAACACAAGCAATTGTTGAAGCTGCAAAAAGATCATTAAAGCTAAACAAACCTACAATACATGGTTTTATTAAATGAAAACTGATAAAATGCAAGTTGAATGTTATAATTTCAGAATGTACATTTGCAATTAATTTTATACCACCAGGGACTGTTTTGACATTGAAGAGAGAAGCCCAGTGTCTATGGGTGATAGAGGCTAGAAGAAGAGCTTTTAGCAGGAGTTTTTTTTGTTGTGACAAGAGAAGTACTGCAAGAAGATGCTGTGTATTATATAGGGGTGCCTAACAGACTGGGGCAGAGCTTACAGAGGCCGTTGTGAGTCCACAGGTTGCAGTTAGAGTAGTCAGGAACTGTATATGACAGAAATGATCTGCTCTATATTTCCTGGGTCTTAAGGAACAGAATTAAAGGACAACAAACTGCCTTCAAATAAACGCACCCCCACCTCCCCTAAGCTAAATTACACTAACCCCCACTCCGCAGCTAATTACGCTCTGAAGTCATGGTATCTGCCATTGTTTACATCCCATCCGGTGCAAATCTGTTCAGTGCTGGCCACACCTGTGGACTGTGCCCCCATAGGCTTGAATTAGGCTGACTGTTGATCTACAACCCATTCAAGTGTGACCAGTGCTTGCAAAGGGTAGCATAAAGTTACATCTGTCCTTTAAGGTAATTAGCAACACTGTCCTAGTTCACCTGTAGTAGTGTAGAATTTATTTTTCTAATATGCAAACTTGCATTTTGGCTCAGGTTTTCCTTTAATACATACATACTGTCAAATACGCAAGATGTGCAATCATATATACACCATTCTGTTAAATGAATGTTACAATGGCTATAGTAGAGATCAATTTGGGAAGATATTTAATGACGACAAATGAGAGTCTAGCATTCTATATGCATAAATGATCATTGACAAAACACAAATGGGAGATCACTCTCAAAACCATCTTTCAACTTTTTAGGAAATACTCTGCAGACAATTGTTTTTGAGGTACATAATTGGTACAAACAATTGTATGGCACACAATGCACCTGCAGTCTAAAAGATATCTTCCGCTCTTCGAAGTGCAAATAATCTGACTGCACAGCCAGTTATCCTAAAATTTTGCCAACAAAAACCATTGCAAAATTGGTTTACTTAAGATCCTTCTAAGTACATATTTAAAGAATATTCCTCCAATCTTCCAAACTGTGTTCCTTCTATAGCCATTCTTAGGCCAGGCATCCTCAGAGATGAGCAAAGGCAATATTTTATGTGGTTGATGGTTAAAAAAAACACCATTATTAGTGTTATAAAGAAAACCCTGTATTACTAACTGAAAAATTAAAGGCTAAGCTAAAGAGATAAGAGTTAGTGAACACCAGTGTCGTGAACTCTCCATCCACCCAGAATCAAAATAGCACTTTAAGGAGACACCCTATGACATTTTTTTTAATGAAAATGTGTATTAGAAAAGGCTGCAGCCTTTGACCTTTCCTTGCTGGCTGCAAATTTAAAAAAACAAAACATTACACTGTTCTTGATAATGGAACCACTGGTGAGTTATGTTATGATCCCATACAACTATAATTAATTGTACCAATATATTGGTAATAATTTGCTCATCGTTTAATATTCATTGGCAATGATGCTGGAAGCTTTGGATAAACATGCAGGGATGAAAGCTGAAGTGTCCGATTTGCCAAAACAGTATAGGCTACAACAATAGGTGAAGGGAAAGCGTGAGCACGTTTAGGAGGAGAGACTATATGCAGAGTGTGACAATATGACCAAGTCCCATATTTCTTATGGCCAAACTTTTACTATTATACATGGTTTAATATTCTGTACTGTGGTATTCGGTCCATTTTGTCATATGTCAAAGAGGTCAGTCAGCCAAAATTATTTTTTTTCTGTCTACCTATATATGAATAGCTCTCCCTAAGAATCATTACTTTTTGAACCATCTATACCGACATAACCCTCCTTTTCCATTTCTCCTTTACAACTGCTCCTCTGTTATGTCAGATGTAGAGAAAAATATTCCACTAATTAGCTGAATACATTTACAGACGCGCATGTTTGCTATTACAATATATTTAAAGCCAAACCAGACCTTGTCTCTGGAACAAGGATAGAAGGGAAATTTCCCAATAGCAACATCTGTTCCTGTGTAATTTTGCTCTGTTTGGAGAGATTTTCTCTCTTTTCTTGTTGAGTCTCGAAAGGAAAGGCAAATCTCCCCAAAGGGGCACAAAGAGAAAAACCTGACAGGGACTTTAAACATTCACTACTATTTTTCCAAGCAGTGTTGGAGCTTTTTGCTCCCTTCTACCATCTCAAATGCCATTTGGAAAATCATTATGATGGTGCTTGCCAGTTGAAGCTGTTACCCAGAGTATCTGCGAACTGAAACTTGTCCTGCAGACATTAACATAAATGTTTCCAATGTAGGTATTTTTAGAGTACCTCTGGGTACCAAATGCAGCTCCTTACCTTACACAGGGAAACTTACAAAAAGAGGCATGAGTTTCTTTAAATACTGGAAGGGCATGATGGTCGCATGTGTGTTACAGGCGGATTAGACAGATTAAACTGGAACAGGAACTGGAAGCACAAAATGTTCCATTGTATCT